CGGGGTTGCTGCTGCTGCTGCATGCTTCCTCCACTTTTGATGCTCATCTGCTGCAAAGACTCGCGAGTCGCGAGTCGCGACTCGTGACTGCAACTGGACAAGCGTTGCCTGCAAATCCTGCTGGCAGTACCCGGACTTTTCAACGTGAACTGAGCACCACCACCACCATCGCCTCCTCAGATTCGCATTTGGCACTCAAAGCAGGCGAAACACTTGCGCAATTGCAAGACGATCGAGCACTTCAGACACGGCTACAGTCGCAGTGCTGCCATCATGCCTGCTGAATCGGTCGCTCTGCAGAGCATTCCCACGCTCTCTTCGCTTTTCAAGTCGGGTCGAGCCACAATCTGCCGCTCCATCACTTGCGCATCTTCTTCGGCTGCGTCTGCAAGCAAGATCCACTTGTATCAAGGAGACATTACAACGCTGGAAGTGGACACCATAGTCAATGCTGCCAATCATTCTTTGCTGGGTGGTGGTGGTGTGGATGGAGCGATTCACAGACGGGCTGGAAGGGAATTGGTCAAAGAGTGCAGAGGCTTGAATGGTTGCGATACGGGCGATGCCAAGGTCACAAAGGCATACGATCTGCCTGCCAAGCACATTGTGCACACCGTCGGGTGAGCAGGCAAGAGCCTGGCCAAGCAAAGGTCGCGCTCAACAGGCCGTCGCAAGAAAAGCTGATGACTTCTGCGCAATCCCTTTTGGGGTGTCTGATCCCCTTGCAGACCCGTCTGTGAGCTTTCCTTGACTCCGGATCACACTGCGGTACGCAAGCATGCTGGGCCAGCTTTCCACATTGACCACCTCCTCTCTCTCCTCTCATCGCTGCACAGTCTCCAAGAAGAATCCCGAAAAGAGCGCAAAAGAGCTGCGCTCCGCATATAGGCGGTCTCTAGAAGAAGCGTCCAAGCTGACAAATGTCAAGAGCATCGTGAGTCGAATGCACATCTCTTGCACGCATCAAGCGCTCAGCGTTCCAAGCTGATGGATCACTTTCGCCATCTGCGCCGCGCCGCGCCGCTTGCGCATCCATCATCAGGCTTTCCCGAGCATCAGCACCGGCGTGTACGGCTATCCTATGGAAGAAGCGACGCACATTGCGCTTTCCACAATCGCAAGCTACCTGAATGACAGCGACGACAGCCAAGTGCGTTTGCTACGAGCGCCTCCTGAGCCAGAGGCTCAGCTGGAGATGTCTGTCTGCCTCTCACTGCCTGCCGTTCCGTCGTGTGCCACCCCCCACCCTCGCAGCTCCAGAACTTTGTCTTTTGCACCTTTTCTGCGGAAGACTACGACGTGTATCTCCGCCTCGCGCCAGAGCACTTTCACGATGGGTAGAGGCAGGCAATGTCGCTCTCCCTACCACCGCTTCATCGTAGGCGTTTCACGAGGCATGTATTATTGCTCTCCCTACCACCGCTTCATCATAGGCCCGAAAATCCCGATCACCGACTCGATACACAGCTCAAATGCACACCGCCTTGTGACGACAAAGTGTCTGTCCGAAAATGTCATTGCTGGCTTGCTTCTTCGCCCGGCATGCACTTTTCTTGAAGGATCGATCAAGGTTACAATTATGAATTCTTTCCGCGCTGATTGCTCCGATGATGATTGTTGGAATGCCAGCCCTATAGGCTTGTTCGACGATTTGTTCGGAAGAAGCTGCGTGATTGAGGTGCACAAGAAAGATCGCGTTCCAGGACTAGTGTGCTGATCGGGACTATTCTCCACCCTTTTTGCCCTGGACAGTGCTCGTTTTTGGCTTGGTGCCGACAAAGGAAGCGGTGATGGGCTTGGTAGCAGTTTGCGAGATTGATTTGGATCTCCGTTTGCGGGTCGTCCCAGCCATGGCTGCACCAGCCGTTGGATTGCTGCTCGATCGGGCAAAAGCGCGACGAGATGAGCCCTTGCTTTGTCCGGACAGCTCGGCGCTGGTCGTTTCGATCGATGCGGTCGGCGAATGACACATACGTGCTTGCGTTTGAGCCTTTCTCGTTTTTGTCGGGTTCGCATTGGATGCTTTCGCACGCGCCTTCTCGTCGGACACGGCGTCTTCAGAGCCAGGTCCGTCACCTCGCGCCTTTTTCACCTTTGTCTTTTGCTCGATTGCGACCTCCAGGATCTCGGCAGCAGAAGCGCACGTGGCACCAAGGGGCGCAGAGTTCACCACGTCTGCGCCAACCTTGGCCTTGGCTTGCTGAGCTTTGCTCGCGCGTCTTGGGGAATTGGCCTGCACACTCTGCTCTCCATCAGCTGCGTTTGACGACGCTTTGGCCTTTGTTTCTTGCCGCTTTTCCAGCCTATCGCGCTTACGCTCGGATTCCAAGTATCCGCGAAGACCGGCCCAGCTATGCTGCGCAAGGTCAGGCTCCGCTGATCCAGGCGCCATGGAAGTGGTATGTTGCTCCGTCGTCGGATATGTGCTTGCCTCCCACAAGCCTAGCGCTGCTTGCTGCACATCGCCTTGAACCCACACATCGAATATGTCTTCCCATTCTCGAGATGGGCCTGGAAAGTCGTAATTGAGGAGGATGGTGCGTATCGGGGCGTTCGGGTCATGATCCTCCTCGTCATCCCCTGGAGAACTCGAGCTGGCCCGACTGTCGCTTCCCGAAGAGCCACTTCCAGACTGCTCTTCGTCGCTGTCGTTGTAGACCCGGTGATCGCGCGCACGACACGCCTTTGCAAACTCTCGCACGATTCGTTTGGTACCAGGCACTTTCAGCGAAGTGCCGGCTACAATCAGCAGGTCAGGTGGAAGTGGCTTGAGCCGGGGCGCACGTGCTCTCTTCTTTGAGCCAGCTTGCAGCGACGGGGATTGTGGAGCGGTAGACGGTGGAGCTGGGACAACCATCGAAGGGGTCGGAACAACGGCAGAATCGTCTTCCGCAAAGGCTGCTGCGAGAACGTCCTCTCCACCGATCTCCACGATGGGTTGCAGCGCTGTGCTTGCCTGACTCGCCAGGGGATCGTCCTTTGGTGTGGTACGGCCTTGCATTTTCGCTTCCTTGCGTTGTCTTGCTCTGCGCTCCGACACGCTTTCAGGCACTGGCGTTTCGTGCGGATCGCGCAGGCCTAATATGTCTCTTTGAAGACATTCGCCCACCTGCTCAGCGCCTTCATTTTGGCCTCCGTATAGTACCACGCCGACCTTCATGCGACCAACGCCGCGAGATCGTAGACCAGCAACAGCACGCACATTTTCGTAATCTTCGCATCTTGAGCACGGCACAGGCTCGCCTCCCGCGAGCAGCTCCAAAGCCCGAAGTCGTTCCGTCTCTTGCTCGGAGGTAGGGGTTGCCTGGCGAGAAGTCGAGTGTTCCGTTGGCGCTGTCAGAGCGAGCTCGTGGGGGCAAATCGAACAGCTTAGGCTAGACAAACTCCCGTGAAGCGGAATTGTCCGCGGAAACATTGGTACAGGCTCGTCGCTCTGCTCTTGAGCCCGCGAGCGCAGTAAAGCGGAGTCGCTCACTGTACGACCCCAAGCCCCGCGGCCCTTCGGCAATCTAGGCTCATTCGAGACTCCTTGAAGACTGGAAAGGCATTTCTGCTCTTCGCGCTTTCGCTTGCCAAGCGCTCTGATCGTCGCGGTGCTATCGCCGGTCTCGCCCAGGCCAAACGAAAGGCCTGCGCGTTCCTCAAGGTTGTCGATGTTCTGGGTGTAGACGCGCATCAAACGTCCCTCCACGTCCAGCCGTTTGAGCAGATAATGGAATGAGGTGGGTTTTGCGGCATCCGCTAGCTGTTTCAGTTCGTGAATCATGGAATAGAACAGGGCCGAGGTTGCTTCAGACTGCACACAAAAGGCCGTGGGTGTCAGTCATTGGCGTGAAAATGCTCGACATTCGCGCAAGACTCACGCCAAAAAGTCTGGCGTCGAACAGATCCTTGCCAGAGCTCAGACCGGCATTTGGATGCTTTTCTTTCAACTTCCGAAACAGCCCTGTAGCGCTGCGGAAGTCTGGAATATTGGCGGGTGAAGATACACTTATACCGGCACCTGTTACGAGCAGCAGAGAAGTTTCATACTATCAGCATGCGTCGAGCCGCGCGAACGCAGACTTCAACTCACCGCATACAACCACCACTCTGCGCGCCCCAGCGACTGCATCCCACACCCTTGCCACATCACGGTCATAATCTCGCGTGTGTGAGCCGTAGCTAGGCGCGGCTCCTTCAAAGGGAGCAGGAACAGGATAATTGCGGACCCTTGTGCTCAAACCAGGACTCGCTGCCGAATGTGAGCCTGCGGGCTTGGCGTCTTCTTCTTTCAGTGTGGGTGCTTGAGACACGGACCGACTTCGAGAAAAAGTGCGGTTTCTGCTGCTCCGCCGCAGTCCCACGCCACTATCGGCGACCACTGAGCCCGAGCGGGATGAGGATGGCGTTGAAGGAGGTCCATTCAGTGCAGCGAACGTGTCCGGGGCAGGCAAAGCCTCCGTCGGTCGGAGAGGTATCACGAGCATGGCACCCTGTCGTAGAGGGATGAGTTGTATGCACAGCGCTAGGGCCTGCTGACGAATGCGCGCCGGGCGAGCAACGAAGTCGAGCGGTGTTGCGATGGACGAAGGGCGCCGCGGAGCCGAGTCATAAAGTGACCAGATGCTTTCCTGACCTGAGTGAAGTGGATCGGGCTTCTTTATCGTGGATGTCGCAGGCCCCGAGATTGAGCAGATTTGATCGCAATTCAGGGGCAGAAGTGAAAGCTGGGTAGCAGTGATGAGTTGATCTGTGCAGGCGGATGCAAAGCGGGCAATGGATGGGCTGGCTGGGCCAATCAGAAAGACTGTGCAGTGCCGTCAACGGTCAACAGTCTGAGGTGAACAGTGCGGACGGTATGGAGCGCGTTGTGGTGTGGAGTGGAACAGAGAGGTGACCTGTATATGAGAGGCGGCGCTCGAACATCGAAATGGTAAGTGCGAGCGCCTTTGTCGCGGTCCGTGGTGATGCGTGTGTGAGTGGAAAGGAGGCTCGTCCATCGCTGGACACTTGCAACAGTCGGGCATGCGGATCAGCGGAAGATGGCAAAGCAAAAGCAGCCGCAAATGCAATGCTGCTCGCCGGAGGCGCGTCTTGCATCGGGGCCTTGGGCTGCACGTCCCCACCACACGCCGTCCGGCGCGTTCTCGTGCCATATGCCCCGAGCTCACAAGTCACGAATGGCGCACGCAGGCGACGCGTCGTGCTTCCAGAGGACACGTGACCAAATTAACCCAGTCGTGTTTTGTTGCGGTTGCTGCATGCACATCCAGCAGGCTGCCGATGCCCCTAGGCCACCGCACGCGCAGACTCTGCTGGTGCTGCTGGGCCATGCTGCATGCATGGCAGCGCGCGAACTCGGCAAGAGCTACACCTATCTATCCGTATATAAGCGCGGCCAAGCACAGAGGGCAGCAGGTGTAGGTGAATTCCAAGAGTCGAATAGCAAAGTGACCACGCCTCGGCCAAAAGATTCGGCTTGTGTTGCAATCGCTGATCTGGAGGTGGTGGTCCAAGGGCACGGCTGTCCGCAGGTCAAGAAGGTCAAGCGGAAACGCGCTCAAGGAGCACGCGATGGAGTCTCTACCGTACGAAGTGCTCTTGGAGGTCGTAGGATGGGCCGCCGCCCTGGACAAGACGACTGCCTTTTCTCTCACCCTCACTTCTCGCAGCGTCAGACGTGCTGCTTTGCCAGCTGTCTACGCGCACGTCTATCTCCGTTCAGGTGCCCGCGTCAAGAGTTTCGTTTCAGCTGTCAAGGCGCGCCCGTCTCTCGCCGCACATGTCCGTCAGCTCTCTCTTGAAGATGCCAGCCTAGCATCCACGAGCGCTTGGAGCTGCGGTGTAGGCCCATTCGACTGCGATGACCACACCTCGTGGATGGATTTGTGCGCAATGATAACCCAACTCACCAAAGCTGGAACCCTAAGGTCTCTTGCTCTCTCAACGACAGCCATCATGCGTCTGTATACCGACAGACACACGCGCTGCCCTCGTAGAGGAGACTTTAAGCCCGGTACTGGCCCGAATTTGCCTGCCGCGCATGCGTTCGGCAATGCAAGGCTGTTGGTAGATGATCTCGTCATTTCAGGCTGCGACGAGCAACAGCATCTAGTCATGAAGAACTTCCATCCTCGATCCACCCTGACCATCTACGGTGACGAATGCGTGTGGTCATCCGAAATCGTTTGGAGCACGCTACGCGCCTTTCGAGACAACGAGGAAGGGCCAGAGCAAGCGCAATGCACAGATCATGCAACACCCGATCCTGAAGCCTACGAAAATAGAGTCGACGCACCTCAGTCAAAGTCTGGATGCTCGGAAGTCGAGCTTCGGCTCGTTGTGGGAAGCGTCATGGATCCGCCACGTCTTGTACGGAAAGCAAGCGAGTTAGTTCTTCGTCGAGCTGGTGAAGACGCACCTTTCAGCAGCGTGATCCTCAAGATTCGCGACGTAGACGACCGTGCTGCATGGGCTCAAGAAGCGGTGGACCGAGTCAAAGACTACGCCGGTCAAGTACCGATCGAGATACGTCGCTGGCACGTTCACGGTGGACGGTTGGTGCAGTATGCAGCCGAGCGCATGGACTGGTCAAACGGAGTCTGCTTTGAGACAGTCATGGACGACACCGAATCAATCATTGAGGGACGTCTCCCAACGAGCTCGTGGGGTCCGCACCAACTCTCTTGGTGCGGCATCTCCCAGTGTAACCCAGAACTCGGCTCTGATCCGTACAACGTGCGGCACTGGGCACCCACGACTGCATCACGCAACAGCCCAAACCATCCCTTCACCAGCTTGGATTCGTGCTATCCTCGAGACTGGCATCGCTTCAACTTCATGTCGTGAATCAAGCAGCACAGCACAAGGTCTTTTTCATTTGCGCAATCACGGAACATTGTAAAGAGGCGACAGCAAAACACCTCGCTCCGCTCGATGACCTGTACTTTACGTCCACTGCACGCAACAAACGAATGTCCCTCAACCTTGCCTTTGTGCATATAAGCTTCGACGTGCTCCGGCTACACGTCCTTGCGGGGGTGTCATTGTCAATCAGCAGCAGGTGCGGCCCGGCTCAGCTCCATAGCATGTCTGCATGTGGATTGCTTGACCACTCTGCTAGAAGTCTTTGCCGTTGACAGCCCCGCACTCACAGGCAGCACACGCCCTCCGGAGTGGCAGGCGAGAGCAGTCACGCGTATGCTGGCCGTGTAGACGTAGAGCGATGCTGCTGACCTAGCTTAAATGTATTCACAAATTCAAGATTCCATTCTGATCAAGTTCATTCTGATTCAAGGTTCCATTCGTGATTCTGATCAAGTTCATGCACCATAATAATAGGCATTTAGTCCTTGATCCAAATTGTTCTGCTCATACACACGCTCAGCACGCGGGCGTGATGGTGCGTCGGGGACCCTCAGTCACGTGAGTCACAACTCCTCGACTTCAACCGTCGAGCGCCAACGAACCAAAAGAGGCGCCACGCCGAAGCGGACGCTCCACACGTGCGTGCAGCAAAGCGTGATTGCTACGCGTACCCATACATGCAGCAGCTGCTGGCCCTGAACTCATCGCAGAATCAAATAGTGAATGCGCGCACCACTCGTCGTGACTCGCGCGCGGCACTCGATCGCGTTGACTGCATGGTGGCAGGTGGCTGAGCAGGTCATTGGCGTGCGACAGGGACCTCCGCGCGACCTGAACAGCTATGCCGGTACCTACACAAGTGATTACGCTCAGACCAGACTTGCTCGTTCTTCCTCTCTCTACACGCCTACGCAGCGGCAACGCACTCATACTGTGCTGACCGTTCACGCATCTCTTTCGATACCTACCCAAAGATTCGGGCAGCTACCAAGCGCTTCATTTGTCATTCCCTGCACCACGAGCACCCGACCAAACCCAATCCTCTTCTGGGCAGGGCGGCTACAAGAGACTGCGCCACTTCTCTAAAGCCGGTCGGACGCACGCGTGGGCTCAACGCGCACGTACGTACGTGGTCGCTGACCATCATCTTGACAATAGCGTCGCAGAGATTGACGTTGTCGCACATTGGCGAACAAGCAAGTGCTATTGCGAGCCTTTTGTGCCAGCAGGTGGCGCTCGAGTCTGCTTGCAAGTGTCGAAAACTTCTGCTTCGGTGGTAGCACTTGCGCAGCACCGCCAACATGGTGGGTGGCCACCTCTCCGATCCACCACAGCTAGAGATGCGCCCTAACATCGCAGTTCCTTGACTTTCTCAGGATCATATCGATGCGAGCCCCACCGTGATTGGTGCTCCTTCCGATCATGGGCACCCACAGCCCATGGAGGTGGAGGAAGCCATCTCAGTGCTAGATCGTAAGTCTTTGGAACGTGGACAGCACTGAGAGCTGCAATCGGGTATGGCTCTTGACGTCACAACTTCTTCGTCGGGTGCAGACAGTGCCTTTGCAGCCAAGCATCTGGCCGATCTCGGGCAGGAAGAGGCGGACTTTGCGGTCTGCGATTGGGTCTTGAGGGATTGGAACGCGCTCGACAAGAGGTTGACAGGGCCCGAGTTTGAGTGCGGTGGTCACAAATGGTGCGTCGAGGGTGTTGAGCTGCGTCTTTTCTCGACGAGACTCGGCCACTGACTCTCTCCACCGTGTCCCAGGCGTATCCTGCTTTTCCCATTCGGCAACTCCAACGGACAGCCGAACGACATGGTGTCGGTCTATTTAGACTATGCAAATCCCAAGGAAAAGCCAGAAGGCTGGCATGTTTGCGCGCAATTCGCGCTGGTCATTTCGAACTTGAACGACTCCCAATGTCACTCCACGAGTCGTGAGTGATGTGTGCAGTGAGGCTTGGCGATCTGCGCTCTGCTGACCCAGATGCTTTGATCCGGCACACCTTTAGAGGCGCATCATCGCTTCACCGCAGAGGAGATGGACTGGGGCTTTACAAGGTTCAACGAGTTGCGAAAGCTGGTAGCGCCTTCTGACGGCCGGCCCAGACCTATCATCGAAGATGGCGCCGCGCGAGTCACGGCCTTTGTACGCGTGCTCAAGGATCCTACGGGAGTGTTGTGGCACAACTTTATCAAGTGAGTGAGGCGAGGGGAGGCGAATCAGACTCTATGCGCCCGTTGAAGAGTTGGAGGTGCGCGGCGGTGCCGCAATCTGCTTGGAGCTGCGGACTGACGTCGTCCTTGCGTCCTCTCGCAGCTACGACTCGAAGAAAGAGACGGGCTACGTGGGATTGAAGAACCAAGGAGCAACTTGCTATATGAACTCTTTGCTCCAGTCGTTGTTCTGCACAAATTACTTCAGAAGAGTGAGTCGGGAACGCAAACTTGCACGCGATTCTCCTACTGAGCACCTCGTCGCAATCGCAGGCGGTGTACCAAATTCCGACAGAACAGGACATTCCGTCAGAAAGTGTAGCATTGGCGTTGCAGCGCGTTTTTTATTTGCTGCAATCCTCAGATCAGCCAGTCGGCACGAACGAGTTGACCAAGTCTTTTGGCTGGAAGTCATTGGATTCCTTTCTTCAACACGATGTGCAAGAATTCAACAGAGTGCTCCAGGAAAAGTTGGAGACCAAGATGAAGGTGAGATTTGCCAATCCTCCGTACTTGCGATTGAGCACATCTGATCGCCTTTTGCTCACGCACAGGGAACTGCTGCGGACGGAGCGATCACGCGCTTATTCGTCGGCCGCATGAAGAGCTATTTGCGCTGCGTGAATGTGGACTACGAGTCGACTAGATCAGAGGATTTCTACGACATTCAGCTCAATGTTAAGGGCATGGCAGATCTTCACGACTCCTTCAAGGATTACATTCAAGTCGAGATGCTCGATGGCGAGAACAAATATGCAGCCGAGGGGCACGGTCTGCAAGACGCCAAGAAAGGCGTCATCTTTGAGAGATTTCCGCCCGTTCTCCATTTGCAGCTGAAGCGATTCGAGTACGACATGGAAAAGGATTCGATGGTCAAGATCAATGATCGCCACGAATTCCCCCTTGACATTGATCTAGGAGAGTTCATCGACAAGGACTCGGAAGTAGCTGGGGAAGATTGGAAGTACCAGCTGCATGGAGTGCTGGTGCACAGCGGCGATCTGCACGGCGGACACTACTTTGCGCTCTTGAAACCCGAAAAGGACGGAAAGTGGTTCAAATTCGACGACGATCGCGTCACGCCCGTGACTCTGAAGGAGGTGCTTGAGGACAACTTTGGCGGAGAAATTCCAAACGGCCATCTCGGAGGCCAAGTTGGCGCCCGCGCGCCCGTCAGAGCGATGAAGCGCTTCACAAACGCGTACATGCTCGTCTACGTTAGGCAGCGGGCTGCTCCAGAAGTGCTCAAGCCCTTTGCTGTCGAAGATACGCCCGCACATCTTCGCGAGCGTCTCGAAGAAGAAAGGCTCGCAATCGAGGCCCGGAAACGAGAGCGCGAGGAGCAGCACTTGTATCTTACGGTGAAGGTGAGTCGCAGCATATTTGCGGAGACCGTTTTGCGACCTCACTGACCTAGTGCTCGTCGCTGTTGCGCGCAGCTCATCACTGAAGACACATTCAAGGGCCATCAAGGTTTTGACTTGGCAACCTTTGAAGAGCGCAATTTACCGGCGACGGAACTGGCTTCTTTCAGAGTTCTCAAAACGGAGTTGTTTCTCAACTTTAAGGCGCGCCTTGCACAGCAGTACGGCATGTCCGAGGAAAGTATCAGGCTGTGGGTGTTGGTCAATCGTCAAAACAAGACTGTGCGGCCAGACACGCCAGTGCCAGAGTCCGACCCCAATCTCACTCTAGAGACGGTGCGGGACAGGATGGCTTCAAGACAGAACGATTTGCGCTTGTACCTGGAGACCATTTCGCCCGACACAAATTACGGGGTCCCAGATCCGCCCCTCATGATCTTTCTCAAGTACTTTGACGTCACTCGACAAACTCTGACCGGCCAAGGGAGGGTGTACGTCACCAAGGCAATGAAGGTGGCGGACTTGGTACCGACCATCAATCAGATGATGAGGTGGCCCCCGACCGTGCAAGTCCGACTGTACGAGGAGATCAAGCCGGGCATGATCGAACAGATGAAGCCCAAGGCGACTTTTCAGCAGAGCGAGATTCAGGATGGAGACATCATCTGCTTTCAGTCTGAAATGTCCGAGAAGGAGTGAGTGCACGCGAGCTTGCGATTCGAGATTTGCTAGCGAGAGGGTCCCGCGAAGGTGGGCGCGTTGCTGACGCGCCGAATGTACCACAGTGCGCACGACATTGAAGCGCAGTCGCTATACTCTAACCCGATCCAGTTTTACGACTTTTTGCAAAATCAAATCAAGGTCTTGTTCAAGCCAAAAGCCGAGGATGCCGAATACAAGGGGGAGTTTGAGTTGACCTTGTCCAAAAAGATGACCTACGACATGGTGCGTTGCGAGGATCATGCATCGCCTCGTCGCTCCGCTCACATGCTCGTCCACGTCCTCCTCAGATGGCCGCCAAGTTCGCGGAGCGGTTGAAGCACGACCCCCTCAAGCTCAGATTCACCACTGCGAATGGACCGAACGGCACGCCCAAGACTGTCCTGAAGCGCACCGCAAATCAGACTGTCAACGAGATTGTTTCGCCGAGCTACATTCAAGGACAAGCATCTCTGCTGTACTATGAAAAGCTAAACGTCTCGATTGTCGAGCTGGAGACCAAGCGCAACTTGAAAGTGTGGTGGATGGGGGCGCACAATAAGGAAGAGGTGCGTGGCGTCGGCCGTGCTGCGCAGGGCGGTTGTGCGATACTGACCGCGTCTTTCTTGCAGGCCGCTCATCAATTCCTCATGCCCAAGACGAGCTCATTCAATGAGGTGGCAGACTACCTTTCCAAGCAAGTGACACTCGAGGACGGCGGCAGCGGCAAAATTCGCGTGTTCGAAGTCGTCAATGGCGGTCGGCAGCAGCGGGACATACCTGGCGCAGAAATGATTGGCAACATCAACGAGACTGCAGAGCTTTTTGGCGAAGAAGTTCCCATTGAGGAGCTCCGGATCAGTGACGAAGACCGGATCATCAACTGTTTCCACTTTTCCAAAGAGGTCCACAGGATCCACGGTGTGCCTTTTAAATTCATTATCAAGCCGGTGAGTTGCACGGGCGCACGAGCACGAGCACAAAGGTGTACGCTGACAGATGACTCGTACGCAGGGAGAGAAATTTGCCGACACCAAGCAAAGATTACAAGCGCGCATCGCGGTGCCGGACAAGGAATTTGCCAAGTTTAGATTCACGCTGGTCATGTCGAGCACGTACAAGCAGCCCAACGTCTTGCAAGACGATGATGTCCTGTGAGTGGACGATGGATGAAGCGCGCGACGTGGGAAGCGTTGCAATAATGACGCCTGACATTCTTGCCCACCACTAGTTTCGAGCACAAGTGGATGACAGACGATGCTTTGGGTCTCGATCACATTGATAGAGCGACAAAGTCTGGAAGAATCGTCACGGCCGCGCAAGATCGTGGCATTCGTATCCGGAATTAAACGTGTGCGAAGAGCGCGGGGCTACATG